GGTTCGATTTTGTTCGATATCCTGTTGCTGTCACTTAAGTGCAGTTATTAAACTGTCTCTTTCATGTTCAAGATCTTTTACTTTAGTTTTCAGGTCTGATGTAGCAAGACTAAAGTTCAACATTTTGTCTCGCAACTCAGAATTTTCTTTCATGAGACTTAGTTTGTCGTTCCTTAGCTCATCAACGACGTTCTCTGAAGTAAGCAACGGATCAACTTTAAATTTTAGTTGATTCACCTCAGTTCTAAGGCTTTCCATTGTCGTGTTCGTGTTTTCAGTGAATTCCAACATTTGCTGTTTGAAATCATCGAAGCCTTGCCATTTAACAGCATCGTTAACCAGATTCTCGGGGTTTTCTTTACACATAGCCGATAGTAACTTACTTAGATCGTTTGTTTCTATCGAATCTCCAAACAGGGTAATCGATTTCGTGGTTTTACTATGCCATTTCAAACTCACATTGGCTGTATCACTAGTGAACAGCTTGACTTCACAACCAGGCGACGTTCATCCGCCAGAAAGTTTCAATTCATTTGACACGAATTCTTTTAAATCGTTTAATGTACCGCCCCAATAAAGCTTTTCTCCTATGACTTTTATATTTGTACACAGACTTACTTCCATGCTTAGTAAATTAAGGTAGATATAAGTGCCCTGTATATAGCCTAGTATAAAATTAGCGGAGCACAGAGTACACGTCTGCACACTTGAAGGATCGGCACTATAGCTGTATATACCCACTACTCTATATGCACTAGATTTATATACTATAAATATAACGCAAGCGCACTTTCCGCGCCCTGTACTGTCAGTGTAAGAATCATGTTATTTGTTATTATTAACCTACCTTAGGCTAAGAGGTATAAGTAAAAGCAATTATAGCAATTGTTTCTATCATAGAATATTTAGAAAGAAGAAGAATAGAAGAATAGAATATTTATAATTAGTCTGTTTGAAAAGGGAAACATATTTTATATACATGCACTTTCCATAATTCAAAGGTGAAATATGAAAGCAAAATCTATTTCCTTTTAGATACGTCCAGTTCTATTTCTTAGAACAAAGCGCCAAGGCGAATTTATTGCAATTGGCATTTGCTTAAATAAATAAAACATATAACCTTACGTTACTGTTGATAGTTCAACATCGCCTTTGTCTTTGACCCGATACGAACTAGTCACAAACAATATAACTGTTGAGTTATAGTTGAGTATTTTTTTAGACTTGAGTATACATCATTTAAAATTATTGCTCATATCATGTAGAGATAGCTAAACATATCAAGTAGAATTTTAACATATAAAATCATCAGGCCTAGGATTGCTCGTTTGAATGGCAGAAACTGTTCCCCACAGACCAACAGCAAGGAAGTAGATAACCCCCACTAACTTTGAAAGAGATTCCACGACGGTCTAATTACTCTGGCGCAGCTGAGAGAGGAAATGTAGAGACAGAGTGTCGCACGCAAATGCTGCCTTGATTGATGACTCTATGCTGTAGCAGCTTGAGCCATGGTGTGCAGTATTATTTCGCTGGGTATAAATTGAACTCAAATTTCTTGAACGGAAAAGACGTTTTGGTTCAATATCGTGCCGAAAATAATGAGCTCGTCATATTTTGTACCAGGAAAAACGGCGTATCTGTTTTGATCTGCCCTTACTAAAATAATATCTATTATTTCTATGGGACAGCCATCTTATGTATTTGTAGCTACAGTACATTCTCATTAATATTTCACCTCCATTTAGTTAAACACAAGGAAATCATGGCCATGAAGGAGCATATATGTCACATACAAAATCCTGCTGGTTTACAGAAATTTTAAGTCGTTCCTTTGGCGAAATATGATCAATGTCTTAATACCATTAAGGGATAGAAAGGTTTTCATCAAGACGGTACAACCACGTCGTCTTCAACTAGGGTGGCGAAGTTAAATCTTCTTTTTAACTCACCAATGTTGGTTTGCCTCTAAAATAGTATACATTGTTGGAATTTATCCTAGAACGTCACCATTAATATGCTTAGAAATTATGTAAGCTTAATCATGTTAATCATTACATTCATAAGAGTTGATATTTTTACAGGAAAGACCCCAATTGGTGAGCTCTTTAGTCTTGCTTACGACTGTTCGAAA